GAAACAAACAGCCTCGGATGAGACCCCCTTTTTCTGATGACGACCACGGCAAACGTATAAAGGACTATGATTTAAGGGTATGCACCTGGAATATCCGGACCTGGCCTCAAACTATTCCTTTGTCACATCTTTGACAACGGATTTAGAGGGTAACAGCAGCTTAATTGTGTCTGAGGAAAACGATTTGATATTTTTTCTTTTTTTGGTCATTAACCGAAATACTGCTTAAAGACGAGTCCGAGCTCACCAACAGCCGGTTATATATGTCACGGTTACATACTTCACCAGAAAACTTCCGGGAATAATTTTCTCGGTAGTGTTTGTTGTGGGCCTCTTGAGCCTCCCCGATAATTGTCCTATTGTTAATAAGGAATTAGTAGCCGTCATCGATTCGCCACTTCTCGCTCGCTATGTTTGAGTTCCGGTCGCTTAAAGAAGAATTTTGCATGCGAAAGCAACAACAAAGTTAGCTAGCACGGATAGACGATAGCGAGTTTGGTTGTACCTCATTGAGTTCGTTCGTTTCGCCACTCGCTAACTGTGCATCTTGTGCATTGTGGGTGCCATGCCGCCGTCGATTCGCCACTTCTCGCTCGCTATGTTTGAGTTCCGGTCGCTTAACGAAAAATTTTGCATGTGAAAGCAACAACAAAGTTAGCTAGCTCGGATAGACGATAGCAAGTTTGGTTGTACCTCATTGAGTTCGTTCGTTTCGCCACTTGCTAACTGATGGCGAATCGATGACGGCTAATAATCATTTGTAGCGCATTTCCTCTTACTATGCTTATGCCTAAATGTATGCAACCATTTGGCAAGCGAACACAGGGTGCTTCTAATGAAAATAAAAATTGTATGCTGAAATACACATGCTAAGCCCATCGAAATTTTGTGCTGGGATATGCGTTACAGCTTCGCAAATTTTACCCCTACCGAAACCAAAGATGTATTCACATCAAAAAAATTTAAAACTTACTTCCGCGAAAAATGTTAAGTTAGTGGGCGCATGGGGTCAGCACTCAAGCAAGTAGCGACACATGTGTACACGACGATGTTCTAACCGTAACTAAATAAATAACTAAAGCTTTATATTATAGTTAACTTTAAGAAAGAAAAGCATAACTTTGACTTCAAACTTAGATACTGTTAAGTAAAGGGGATTTTTGTAGTTCAAGAGGCGACACTAACTCTATTTGGTTGTTTTCATTTATGCTTATTCGTAAGAGAGTACAAACTGTTGAAATAAACCTACAATAAATCAGATCATTGCAAACGATTGAAGTGAACGCATCGTAATTTTATTCCATCGACTGGACTCGAAACCGCCCACAACAACAAATTCCGTAACAAGGCAATTATTGAATTGTTCGCTCCGTCATAAAAACGCTTGTGACTTAACATTTTGGCGCCCAACGTGGGGCACTTTCGAGTTTTGTATAATTTACTACCATCGGTTGTGCCGAATTTCGAGAAATTACGGGAAGTCCACAATCTGTCGTCGCGTAATATCGTATAATTTAGCTGTTACTTGGCGGACTACCTGTTTTCGACTTGCATCGCAGTCGCAGTTACGTCATTTGCTTCACCGCCTTACATTGGTATAGCTCATTTTTCTACCTAGTTCGCAAAGGCATTGGGTCTTTCAACTCATTGGTGGCTGGAGTTGTTGTCGTCGCTCAATATCGTATGATTTAGCTGTTTAGAGGTCACCTTGGACTCTTCGGTTAAAACATCACCGACCTCTAACTATCATTGAACATTGACTTTTTAGCTCAGAGTCATTGCAATTAGTGATACCATGTCACTTGCCGAGCATCTATCCCAACGAAATATAATTGTCAAAGCGATTGAGCGAATCAAGACCGACATTGAAGCACATAGTCGAGGAGAAGGGAGAGTACTGTCCTCCATAGAATTGAAATGTCGTCTCGACGTGCTTGATAATTATTATCAGCAAGCTCTTCAGCTTCAAACCTCGGTTGAAAGGTTCGACATTGAAGATGACACACGAAGTACCATCGATTCCTTGTACATCACTATTAAAACTTCAATTTTGACTCAAACCAGCATGGATTCCGGCCTGTCACATAATTCGACATTAGCAGATAATTCTGTGATTGTCGCTACACCAAAACTGCCAAAGCTGAAACTACCATCGTTTTCCGGAAAAAATTCGGAGTACAAAAATTTTATTGCATCATTCTCGCAAATTATCGACAGAAAACAGGGTCTTAGTAATATCGAGAAATTCAACCATTTGCTCAACTGCCTTAAGGGGCAAGCCCTCGAAACGGTTCAAGCATTTCCCGTGACGAATGAAAACTACCGTAAGGCACTAGAGCGACTCAAATTACGATACTATAATGACTCATTGATTTTCTTGGAAAATATTAATATGCTTTTCGATATGCAACCACTGAGTTACCCAAATGCGACACAGTTGCGTAGCATTGTAGATAAAGTATCGGCGTTGTTCGGATCTTTATCTTCGCTTGGCACCGATAAAGAGATTGCTAACGCCATGCTGATTCATTTGGTGATTACCAAAATTGACGAGGAATCTCGAAAAAAAATGGAAAGAGTCAGCTGACCTTTCAAAACTGCCGCTTTGGTCCGATTGTTCAAAGGTTTTAGAACGACGGTGTCAATATTTAGAGTCACTCCCACCGAAATCTCATTACTCAAGTGCAAAGTCTCAGCGGCGTAAATTAGGCAGTCAGCCAGCTAATAATAACTACTCTTTTTCGTGCACGAAAAACATATGTCACTTATGCTCTAGTTCGGATCACACACTTCTCCACTGCTCTCGTTTCAGATCAATGGATGTAGCTGAAAGATTTGAACATGTCAAGCGATTGGGGCTATGCATCAACTGCATGTCCAATAAACATCAGCTCGCTCGCTGTTCGTCTACGCATAATTGTAAAGTTTGCGGGAAGAAGAATCACAGTCTCCTGCATCGTGTTACTACAACGATCACGTCAAAAAATGATTTTACCGGCGCTGATACTACGGCCGCTACACATACGCACATGGAAAAATCGCCAAAGGATCAAGTCATCCTTGCCACCGCACTTGTACTTGTCAAAGATGCGTCAGGGTCATATCAGGTTGGTCGAGCTTTATTGGACTCATGCTCACAATTGAACTTCGTAAGTACCGAATTCTCACAGCGGCTTCGTTTACGTCGTCAACGGTAGTCAGTCGAGATTCTAAGCATAGGCAATGTCCAGTCTTCAACGAGTTACAAAACAGTCACTACAATTAAGTCCCAACATACAAATTTTGAAGCTGCGTGACTTTTTGCATTACATCCAGTATTTCGTACCAGCCGGAGTCGGAGATCGACATTCCGAATGGAATCTACCAGCCAATAGCAAACTTGCAGATGAGCAATTCTTCAGAACAAGTAGGATAGACTTGCTTATTGGAGCCGAAGTATTCTTCGATATTTTGTCAGTCGGACAAATCAAGTTGGGCGATGACATGCCAGTTGTCCAAAAAACTTTGCTCGGGTGGATCGTGACCGGTAAATACAAGGAACGACCATCAAAGCATGTCTTGTCATCACCGCGTACGTGCCTTCTGTCAATGGAGGAAGTACTCAACGAAAATTTAGAAAAATTGTGGAAAATGGACGAAGTCGAACGGCATGCCAGCAAGTGGTCGAACGAGCATATGGATTGTGAGAACGCGTACATTAGCACTGTAAGACGCAACGCTGACGGTAGAATTGTAGTGCGGTTGCCGCTTAAAGAGGATTCCGGCAGGCTTGGTTTGTCACATGCTACGGCACTCAAACGGTTTATAGCTCAGGAACGACGGCTTAGGCATCAGCCTGATCTGAAATTACAGTACGTGAGCTTTATGCCTGAGTACGAAAGCCTTGGACATATGTCGGTAGTAAAGAATCCTAATTATAATGCACCGCATTACCACATTCCTCACCATTGTATTTGAAGCCTTCTAGTACTACAACAAAGTTGCGCGTTGTGTTCGATGCGTCTTGCCATACAACGTCGCTCAAATCATTAAACGACCTAATGTTTGTTGGTCCAACAATGCAGACCGAATTGTTTCTACTTCTACTACGATTTCGATTGTATCGCTATGCCTTGACTGCGGATATAATAAAAATGTATCGACAAGTTCTAGTCGATCCACAAGATCGCTGCCTGCAGTACATAGTGTGGAGAAACAGCCAAGAGGAGGAAATTCGTACGTACGAATTAAACACTGTCACGTATGGTACTGCTGCTGCGCCGTTTCTGGCCATACGTAGCCTTAATTTCATTGCCGACGAATACGCAGATGAATTTCCGGTTGGAGCCAAGGTGGTTAAGTCGTCATTTTATGTGGACGATCTGTTATGCGGATCCGACTCATTCGCTGAACTTAAACAAATTCAGTTCGAAGTGTCGCAAGTTTTAGAAAAAGGTTGCTTCGAGCTTGCAAAGTGGCACTCGAACTGTGCTACCTTTCGTGACGATTCTACTTTGAAAAATCTTAGCTTTGATGAAACAGCAGTCACAAATGCTCTCGGCATCACTTGGGATCAAAGTAACGACACGTTCTTGTTCTCATTTCAGCCCAAAAATAAGTCTACTAAGGTAACCAAACGAATCGTGTTATCCATCGCTTCGTCTTTATTCGATCCACTTGGATTGTTAGCGCCCATAATCGTCATCGCAAAGATTATCCTCCAGGAAATCTGGCTCCTGAAACTGGACTGGGATGAGAGTCTTCCTCAAAATTTACACTTGGCATGGTCCAACCTAGCTGCAGAACTTCGAACAGTTTCTTGCATATCCGTACCAAGATATTGCAAACTGTACAAAGCAACATCGATTGAACTTCACGGCTTTTGCGACTCGTCCATACGTGCATATGGGTGCTGTTTCTACGTTCGTACTGCAACCAACAATGGCGTCAAAGTGAAGCTGCTGACAGCGAAGTCTCGAGTGGCACCTATAAAAAAGAAGTCCTTACCACAATTGGAGTTATGTGGAGCACACCTTTTGGCTAAGCTATTTGACAAGCTGAAGGAGTCGGTAGGTGAGTGCAAGGTCTATTTATGGTCAGATTCTCAAATAGTGTTATACTGGTTGAAGATGCACTCTGCAACGTTGTCAACATTCGTGGGAAATCGCGTCTCTGAGATTCAAGACCTAACGACGAATTGTATTTGGCGACATGTTCCAACACGAGAGAATCCAGCCGACATCGTGTCTAGAGGATGCACTGTCAGTGAACTTTTAGCGTCATGCTGGTTTACAGGCCCGGCGTTTCTCTCATTGGCAGAAAGCGATTGGCCAACTTGTTCCGTAAACGAAGTCGACAATGCCGAAATCAACAAAGAGAGGAGAAAAGCCACCTTTCACCAGACTGCAAGAGCAAACCACATCCACGATGTAATTGAAACCTATAGTTCTTATCCGCGTATACTTCGAGTCTTTGCATACATGTTTCGCTTCATCCATAGAGCAAATAAAAGTCTTAATAAATCTGTAGAATCAAACTCCCTAACTGCGGATGAATTACTCCATGCTCAGTACTGCGTCATATGGATCGTTCAGCAGCAATTTTTCGCAGAAGATATTCGCCTACTGACTGCAAACTTGTGTACTCAAGGTTTGTTAAAGAATCTTAACCCCTTCTTGCATGAGCTCGAAGGCTTTCTTTTGCTTAAGGTCGGTGGCCGTCTAGCGAATGCAAACATTGAGGAGGGCCAAAAACATCCGATATTGCTGCCTACTAAATGTACGTTTACTCATAACTATGTTCGCTACTTACATCAGAAAAATTATCATGCTGGTCCTAAGGCACTGGTAGCGCTTATTCGACGTAACTTCTGGATCTTTAACGCTCGAAATCTTTGTCGACAGATCGTCAACTCATGCATACATTGCATCCGATATCGTCCTAAACTACTTCAACAAGCAATGGGTAATTTGCCGGAGGAGCGCCTTACTCCAGCTCGACCATTTACTAAGGTAGCAGTAGACTTTTGTGGTCCGGTAAACACCTATCTTCGCGTACGGGGCAAGACTCCGTACAAGGCGTATATAGCGGTGTTTGTATGCCTATCCTCAAAAGCCATGCATATTGAAGTGGTGTCAGACCTTTCTGCGGATGCCTTCATAGCTGCTCTGAAACGCCTTATGGGTCGACGGGGTATGCCCAGCAATACATTCTGCGATAGCGCGACAAATTTCACTGGAGCAAACAGTAAATTAGAAGAACTGAAAGATTTTTTGTTTAACTCGCAGACTCAACATACAATTGTAAGTTTTTGCTCTCAAGAATTTATTAATTTTTCTTTTATTCCCCCCAGAGCACCGCATTTCGGCGGCCTTTGGGAGGCTGCGGTAAAGTCGGCTAAGGGACACCTCTACCGTACCTTAATGAACACACGATTAACATACGAGGAATTGACCACAGTACTTATTGAGATTGAAGCGATTCTCAATTCACGCCCCATTGCACCGATGTTATCAGACCCCAGTGACTTCGAAGCATTAAGTCCTGGTCATCTTCTCATTGGATGCTCATTGAAATCACTGCCCGAACAACCCTCTATCGGAGTGGAAATCAATCAAATCGAACAGTGGCGGCGCATCACAGTCATCAAAGAGCGCTTCTGGCGTCGTTGGTCACTGGACTACATTAATGAGTTGCAGACTCGTGTCAAATGGACCAAACCGAGTCCCAATCTGAACGTGAACGATTGGTGATTGTTCATGAGGACAATGTACCACCACAACGATGGGTGATGGGTCGAGTGACTGAGTGCTTTCCTGGAAGGGACGGACGGGTTAGAGTTGTAAACATTCGTACGTCAAAGGGCCTTATCCGACGCCCAATACACAAGCTAGCCCTGCTTCCTATATATTGAAAGTGCCTTTCAAGGGGGCCGGGATGTTAAGTAAAGGGGATTTTTGTAGTTCAAGAGGCAACACTAACTCTATTTGGTTGTTTTCATTTATGCTTTTATGCTTATTCGTAAGAGAGTACAAACTGTTGTAATAAACCTACAATAAATCAGATCATTGCAAACGATTGAAGTGAACGCATCGTAATTTTATTCCATCGACTGGACTCGAAACCGCCCACAACAACAAATTCCGTAACAAGGCAATTATTGAATTGTTCGCTCCGCCATAAAAACGCTTGTGACTTAACAGATACAAAAATAAAAACTAAAAAAAGTTACATAAGTGGTCGCATGGGGTCAAGGCTTAAGAGAGTAGCGACAAATGTGTACACGCCGATGTTCTGGCCGTGACTTATGTACGTAGCCCGCGGGGAGTTAGGAAGCTAGATAGAGCACGAGCACGCTCCAAGCACTCCAAGACATTTTTTTTTCAACTTGAAATGACCTTGACCCCATTCGCCTAATTAAGGGTTAAAGGTATTATATTCGTTTTTGGTTTTAAAAACTATATTATAACAAGATCTAATTTTTAAAAGAAAAGATTTGTTAAATCGATTTCATGAATTTTATTTTAAAAAAAATTGGCGATTTTTGGCGATTTTTTTCCGAAATTGCGCTTTTTTTTAAATAATCTGGACACTCTGATCAAGGATATCTGGTTTGCCGAAATAGGAACACGCAACATCTGAGAAGCAATCCGCATCTAAATCTAAACCATACTTTTCCAAAGTTCGACCTGGAGCATTATTGATTGTGATTCCGAATGTCAATCGAATTGGAAATTGCAATCTTTTAAATTAAAATGGTGTATCAGTCGGAATCATGGGAACTCTTCACCTTTAAAAGGTTACGTTAAAATCTTTACTTACACTGCTTTCTTCATCAATTTCATAAATGCGAGTCGCGTGCCGTTGCAAAGTTTTGGCTGATTAATATTCCGCAACATGATAATTGTCACACCTATTTTAAATTTCAGTGTGTGCGGTGTTTATCGACGTATATGCTATTTCCTCACGTTGAATGCTGGATTGAATAACATTAGTGGTATTCTCCAAAGTGAGCAAGTGGCCGGCAGTCTGGTAAAAGAGCAGATCCGCTCAAGCAACGACTGTTGTCAATACTACTATTATTTAGTTGATAGACATCCTTATTCTTCGCACCAAGAATAGCCCGTTCACTGAGCCAATCGTGATTCCTATAATTAATTTTCTTAATAAAGAAACATTCATTTCGATCAGTTCTCCTTTCAATGTTTTGAAGTTACAAAAATTATCAGGCCATAAAACTCCTCTTAATCTCTCATTGACTGGCAGCTTTCCGTTCCCAGTGTCCAGTAATTGTTGCGAGAATACTGCGGCTGCAGTGTGTGTATGTTCGTTTTGTCGCAATGTTGACTATTTCAGGCAAGCATTTATCTCGTCCGCTAGTGTTAATCGAGAAATCACAGGCAATGTTGGCGTTAAATCTCATAAGAGCTACATTAATGCATTCCAGAATGGTTAAACGTTTCCATGAAAATCTCGCGGCAATCGATCAAGAACCTCAAGCGATGTTTTACGTGCCATGGTGCACTCATCCCAAACAATGAGTTTAAATTTTTGTAATACATCTTCCATACCGGATGCTCTGGAAATATTGCACGTGGGATTGCTGAATTAGCAATTATTTTACCTGGTAACAATGTCGCAGAAATTCCAGGCGAAGCCCTAGCTAAGCCTATCTAATTTTTGAACGAACCGTCCCCAGAATCAATCTGATAAGGAATGTTTTCCTAGTTCTTCCTAGCGCATCCATGAAGATGGTCCCCCAACTCCGTAATTTATCATTTGCATATTCTTCTTCTACTTTGGCTTTGTAACCGCCTAAGCCATTTTGGCCGAGCTCGACCAAGAACGCCAGTCATTTCTCTCTGTGTCAACTTGGTCTCTCCATTCCAGTGGTAATAGGTAGCCCATATTCCTCTGCTACCACCAGCGCATTGCGAGTTGATTTCTTTCACACCTGGAATTTCGGTTCCTATTGGAACGACATGTCTAAGCCAGCGGAGCCGCAGTATTTTCATTCGCTGCACTATGTACATTTCGTTGTAAATCTCATACAACTCATTGTTACATCGTCTACGGTAATCCTCGTCGCCCACGCGTAGAAGCCTGTAAATCTTCCGTAAGATCTTTCTCTCGAATACTCCAAGAGCCGCCTCATCGAATGTTGTCATTGTCTAAGCTTCTGCGCCATATAACAGCTCGGGCATGGTGAGTGACTTTTAGAGTGCGGTTTTTGTACGTCGAGAAAGGACTTTACTCCCGAATTGCCTACTCAGGGTTTTCCATGCTGATATTTTTATCGTTGATAATGCTGGTTCCCTAGTAAACGAAATTCTCCACTTTTCCGAAATTATAACTGTCAACAGTGAATGTTCCTGCATGGTTCAGCTCTGCAGCTCTTATTATCTTAACATTTGCATCATGCGATCGTAATTTGGGAATCCTTGATCGGGAATAGGAGTTCACAATAGTAATGATAATCATAATCTTAATAATATTATCTCATGTTATTCAAAACTCCTTTACTCGCAATATACGTAGTAGGCTATGGCGACCGCAAACGAAATTGTTTACGATTAAAAGTTAACTGATTTACAATGCTAGGGAATGATGTCAACAATTTTAAGTTTTCATTAGGTTTTTTTTTAAACAGCTTTCATACGACAGTTTTTTGTTTTCGTTACTCTTTTATCATTTTTTATTTGTTTCAATAGTTTTTAGCTGACGTCAAAACAAAGGAGAAGGTTATCAATTCGTCGGAATATTTTTTTTATGTATGTTACCGCATAACTTTGGACCACGTCAACCGATTTCCAGGTGATCCCATACTAATTTGGTTTAGATCCGATCATTGGATCATGAAAAAATTAACGGTACCAATATATTTGTATGTGAGAATTGGAGTCGGTGTGTTTTTTGCGTAAAAATTACTTGTTTATTAATTTTTTACATTAAGTAATTTGTGTACCAACTCCTCGTTGATAATATGATCACTTCTTTTGATAAGATGTTGTAAATTCTATTGGGGTATTCACAACGGTGTCTTAAGTGTCGTACTGTTGTATGTCGTAAACTTTAAACGCCTTAAAAATATATTACCGGGGTTTGCAAAGTACCATCAAGGTCATATTATGAATTTTAGCATTGTTAAAAAGTAATTGTTTGTGGTTTAAGGTTCTCTAAACATTTATTTAAGCTTTTAAAGTTTACGACATACAACAATACGAAACTTACGACAACGTTGTGAATCCCTCATATATTTATTTAAACTGTTCGGATTTTGGATAAGTGGAAAGATTAAAAAAATTTCTCCAAATAGTAAAGCTTTCCCAAACAATTTTCGTTTGAAACCAGTTATGTAATATTTCATGTAATTTCAATATTTTTGGTCTTTACTTTTAGATAAGTGATAATCCTATTAAAAATATTTCCAAATCAAGATTTTTCAAATACCTTTCGTTTGGCACCCATATTGTACCTAAAACATATTTTAGATTGTAAGTCTTCTTAAAACTCTTTAGTTTGATACCCACATTGCAAAATTTCATTTATTTAATCAATCCAAGACGGTTAATGCTTAATAATATACATATGTACGCACACATGTACAC